CCCTTTCCCTTCCCTTCCCTTCCCTTCCCTTCCCTTCCCTTCCCTTCCCTTCCCTTCCCTTCCCTCTTTTTCTCTCTGTGCTTTGTGCCTACCTTGCTTTGTGAATAAACAGTTTTACTTTTTTTCACTTTCATCCCCAGTATCCATTTCTCTCACTGACAGAAGAAAAGAGTTATTGAAACCCTTTCTCCTTAGAGGAAAGACTCATTCCAGGGCATTTCCTTCTGAAATTTGTCCCAAAGCTGAGATCATCGTCCCTCAAAGCTTTTGTGGCACCAGAGCTGATAGAGAACATGCATAGGAGACCTGGCCAACCCCAAATCTGCCTTGGATATCTTCTACTTTGCTGATGTGAGATCTGGAAGCTCACACTCCTCAGGAGGTGGTGTGAAGGGATTCCAAGGCTGGCAGGGAGATATAAGATGGAGGAATTTCCATGGAAAAATGTGTATTGCTTAAAATTGTCCTCTAATGTCAGGGATTAAAGAGAAAGCTCTCTAAGCTGCAACCAGGGATGAAAGTGCTAATTACCACACAGTGCATCATTAACAAGCCCCAGCAAATCTGGAAAAGTTCAGCTCCCTGATGGTTACATGGAAGTGGCAGGAAGGGCTGTTACCTGTGGGCACAAGGTTCCCCAAGTGAAATCCCTGATGAAATGCATCCCACAGCTAATGCACTTCCTGAGACTCACACCAGGGCAGAGGAGCTGTGCTGGTGAGGGAGACACTCTGGGATGAGTCTGGAGGGGCACTTTGGGAGCTGCCAAACCCATCTGCTCTCTGATGAAAATACCTGTGACAGATGCAAGATGGGAAGTGACATTCTTCCCCTCCCACCTCCCAGGGGATCAGCTTGGACCCTCTCCTGATCCCTCTCCAAACCCCAGGGGCAGAGGAGGGCTGGACCTGCAGCCCCTCATCCAAGCTGCACCCCAGGAAGGAGCAAGGGAAGGAATGGGACCAGCCCCAGCCTCTTCCTCACTCAGACATGGGGTCAAACACAGGGCTCTGGGTGGGATGGGGATATTTGGGAGGGCAATGGGACAGCTAGGTTTCTGTCCCCTGTGTCTCTGAGAACTTATGGAAACCTGAGAGGAGCTGTTTGGGGCTAGAAGTAGAGATGATCAAGTACCCAAAGCAAGATACTCTCCCTGTCATGTACCACAGAAGGTCTAGACCATGTCCAGAGGCTTGTTCCTCTCCTGCATGATGGCTCTTGGAAGGGGCAGGGGGCTGAATACTCAACACAATTTCTAGATGAGGATTCCCTCAAAGTGTGGCTGAAACCCCTCCTGTTTCAGTTCCCACTGAACTGATGTGTGGCTACTGCTGAGCTCTGCGTCAATCTCCTGGCAGCCCTTTCACTTGACCTTGAGCTGTCTCCATCATAAGATATGAAACCCACTGGTCAGTGTAGTGGGCAGCAACACCTTCTCCTTCTCTCAAAATATGTAACTTCCAAATAGAGCTGGAAAAATAGACCCTTCTTGCAAATATATCTAGAGCCAAAACAAGGCCACAGCAGCCTCTCTGCTCATCGAGGTGGAACTGATGGGAGGGGGTCCCTCCTTCTTTCCTCCTGTCATTCCCTTCAAGCTGCTCCATCACGGGCATTCAGCTGTGGCAAAGATTCCTGGGCAAGGATCCACAGGATGGGCTTCACCACAACAGAGCACCAGCTCAAGCACAGCTGCAGCACTGTCCCTGCCAGGGAAGAAGACAGATGGGTGATGGGGGCAGCTATGAGGCAGACTACTGGATACAAGCACCACATCTATCTTTCTGGCTCCAAGGGGTCAGACAGAAATCTTCCCTGTCCATCCCCAAAATCCCTGCCCAGGCACGTACCCACTTCTCCCTGCACCTCCCAGCCCCGAGAGCGAAGGGCTGATCCGGCACTCATCATCCGTTTGCATAAGAGATGATTGATGAGTGTTCCTCCCCTTGCCCCCACCTCCCTCCAGTGACCTGGATCAAATGACTCATCCCTAATCGGGGGATCCATCTCTCCCGAGGCAAGAAAGGCAATGAAGCAGAAGCTGCCCAAGGAGAAGGGCTGCCCCAGCAAGGGCAGGGTGCTGACAGTGGGAGAAGAAATTCCCTGGAAAATGTGTGATGTTCCCTGGAAACTGTGTGATGAAATATGCACCTCTACTACCTGCAGAAATACTGAGAAAATTGAAAATTTACAAAGGAGGAAAACACAAACAGCCAGTTGTAATAATAACCTCTTCCTATATGCAGAGTGCTGGGTGAGTGGTAAATCAAGCTGTCTTCTCACACTTCCCAGGATATGATCTCATCAGGGAAGGGGAGCATCCCACTGCCACAACCCTGCCCCATTTTCCATCACTGCTGGGGCCAGATGAGAGAACCAGAGCATTTCTGGGAGCTCCCCAGTCGTCCTTGCACACAAATCTTGTGTTGCTGGTCACCTGCTTTAGAGGAGGGGGACTCCAGCTCCCTTTTGCTCATTTTTGGGAATAGTGTATCTCCCCAAAGGACACATTTGTGATGCTTGTCTGAGCAGCCCCAAACCCACCAATCCCTCCCAAAGGCAAATCCCACACATTGGTTTATCCAAGCCAGGGCTCATCCCTCTGCTGCCTCCCCCAGCTCCAGGGAGTGCAACGAGGGATGGTTTAGACCTTCATCCCACACGTCACTTCACATGCTTGAATCTTCCTCATCTTGATTATTTTCATCCTGCCAGCTGCCTCCTCAGTTACCCTGTTCCACACTGGAGGGAGACGTGGTTCTACTTTTCCAGCAGGTCCAAAGCCCCACATGTCCATGCCATCACCCCTAAGGATTTGCTCCATTTGCTGTGAAGTCCAGTCTGCTTTGCAGAGGCTGCCAGAGCTGGAGCTGGTGCCACATCCCCAGCAGACAGCCCTGCAGCACATCCCTGCACACACATTCCCCAGCCACAGCAGCCTTTCAATTTTTTTTCAACAACTTCTGAGGAGGGATTCAGTGTTCAGACTGGGCCAGACCAGTTGGGTATTTGAGGGGAAATGGCAAAGTCTTTGCCCAAAAAACGCCTTAATTTCCTGTTGGGCATGAGTGAAAACTTGTTTTTACCTCCCTCTGCCAAGGGGTTGGGTACCCAGCCAGCCCATTCACTGGGATGCACAAAAAGAAACACCCAGGGGATGGCTGTGCCGGTTTCAGAGGGAAGACCCCAAACACAGGTCAGGAGGGTGTTTCTGCCACTCTCAGTATCAATACAAGCTTCTCCAGCCAACTGAAAGACCAAGGTACAGGAGCAAACCTCAAAAGCCTGAATTTCCATGATCTCCACACCATGGCCAGGTAACCAAGCTGAGCATCTCCTGCACAGAGGGGCTGGGAGCACCTCTGGACCCCTGGCCCGGTGACCAGCAGCTCAGTCTGGTCCTTCTCAGGGAAGCTCCTCCAGAAGCAGGGTCACCCCGCAGGGTCACCCCGAGGTGAGGGTCACACCCTGCAGCCCATGGCCTCAGCTGGGAATCTTCTCCAGGCCCTGGAGATGAGGGCTTTGAGCACCTCTGGTCCCACCAACATCCAGAGGGGCCTGGCAGCTCCAGGGTCTTGATGCCGTCTGTAGCCGGACTTTTTACTGTTCTGCAGGAAGAGTCAAGGAGATGAGGGCAAACCCTTCCCAGGACCGAGGCAGTCCGTAGCTCCTGCGTGCCCTGGCACTCAGCAGGAGTGCCGGAGCGGCTGGCCCGCGGCGGGAGAGGCCGGGTGATCCAGCCACCTGCGGAGGAGGGCACTCCACAAGCCACTGGCAGAAACAGAGCCGTGACTCCGGGCCAGGCTGGCTCCTCGCCCGCAGCCTTGACAGGAGGAGCGAGCGGGACGGCAGGCAGCTTCCCAGCGCTCCCCGGCTCTTCCCGGCCCATCCCGGCCCATCCCGGCTCTTCCCGGCACATCCCGGCCCATCCCGGCTCTTCCCGGCACATCCCGGCCCATCCCGGCTCTTCCCGGCCCATCCCGGCACATCCCGGCCCATCCCGGCTCTTCCCGGCACATCCCGGCCCATCCCGGCTCTTCCCGGCACATCCCGGCCCATCCCGGCCCATCCCGGCCCTTCCCGGCACATCCCGGCCCATCCCGGCTCTTCCCGGCACATCCCGGCCCATCCCGGCTCTTCCCGGCCCATCCCGGCTCTTCCCGGCACATCCCGGCTCTTCCCGGCCCATCCCGGCTCTTCCCGGCACATCCCGGCCCATCCCGGCCCATCCCGGCTCTCCCCGGGCACGTCGCAGCTCCCAGCCCGGCCCGGCTGCAGCGGAGGTAGGCTCGGCGTGGGGAAGGAGGTGTGGGCGTTCCTGCGGCTGCTGCAGGAATAGCTCCCATTCCCGGGTGATGCTGAGCAGCCCTTTCCAGCAGGAGAGTGAGCCGGTCAAGTGCTGTGCTGAAAACAGCATTTGGTGTCTCCAGTAGCGTCCCACCCTTACCCCAGCTGGCTCCTGGCTGGGAGCGGCTCTGCCAGGGACGGGCAGCTCTTCCGTCCTCTCCGGGTTATTCCCGTTTCCCTGGGGGATGAGGAGCGAACTCCCTCCGGGCTCAGCCTGGGTCTGTGCAGGTTCACCCCGAGCACAGCGGGGCCAGGCTGTCGGATAAAGGCTGAACAAGGAGGGTGGGAGCACGGGGAAGGTTTCGGGGATGGAGAACAGAGGAGGGGAGCGAGCGGGCCGGTGGTGTTTGCATGTCGTGCTGTCCCTCCTTGGGGACAGCCTGAGTACTGCAGCAGGTGCCCTGCTGGCTCCAACGCGGCTTTGCTGGGGGCTGTATGCTGGAAGGATGCAGGGTTCCCGTGGGAGATGCCTAAGTGCATGTCCAGGGTGGGATTGCAGTGTCCCCGGGCACTGGGATGGACAAACAGCCTCGCCAGAGACAAGCGAAGCTCTGGCAAGGGCGCAGGACTCAGCTCCGCGGAGGAGGGTGCTTGGAGGGGATTTTCTCATCGCCGTCTCTCGATGCCAACTTTGAGTCCTTCCAGGCAGCAGGATGACACTGTGGGATGGCTCCTACCCCTTCTACCCTGGAGCCCCTGCCTGCTTCCCCTTTGACACCACCCGGGCTGTCATTGTCACCACATTCCTCTCCATGCTGCTCACGTTCATCATCATCCTGCCGGGGATCCGGGGCAGGGGGGTAAGTGGAGGGGCAGGGGCAGTTCAGAGCTCCGGTTCCTGCCTGTTCATCCCACATTCCTCCTCCTTCCCAGCCTTGGCAAGCAAAGCTGCCCGCAGGCTCATGGCCACAGCTCTGGGATCTCTAGAGAGCCGTGGGGCTGAGCTCCATCCCAGCATGAACACTCATTCCATAGACACCAAACTCTACCACCCCAGATTTCTCTGGGAGCCAGATCTGATCTTGGCTGGATTTCTCTGTGAACAAGCCGAAATGATTTCACCAGAGTGGAATAGCAGGGTGAGGCTCAAAGACCTCACCCCACCTTCCCAGAAACCTCAATAAAAGAGGGAGGTGTGTACCGGGCATGTCCCAGCACCACTCGCTGGGCTCTGTGTGGCCAGCAGGCCCTGCTGTGAGCCACATCGGGTGCTCCTTGTGTGCCTGCTTTTGCAGCAGGGCTGGTTAACGGGCTTCTGTCTCCCAGGGGAAGCTACAAATGCCCGGTCACTCCTTTTTCATACTCTTTCCACTTCCAGCTGTGGCCTTCTGTCAACATGTCCAAACACACGAGGTTTGGATAAGTTTGGAAATTGCAGCTGAAAGCTGTTAGAGGAATGTCTCCACCCTCTTTCCCAATAAAAGGAACATCACAGCTTATTCCAGTGGGTTCCTTTGATCTTCTTCCTCTGTCTGGATCTCCCTGTTGTCTCCCCACAGCCACAGGTGTACCCCATACCCACCCACAAAGCACATGGGGTGACTCCCCAGGGGAGGGACAGGTCTATTTCTCATCATTTGATGTTCCTAAATTACGTGCTTGGTGCTGAGGTCCCCGTGGTAAAATCTGACTGACACCTGTCTCTGCACTCTTGTCACCTCTTACAGCGACTCTTCTGGTTCCTGCGGCTGGTGTTGGGACTCTTCATGGGAGCCGTGATCCTCAGTGAGTGCTGGGCTCCTGGGGGAGGCTCCTGGATGCCCAAGAGATGGAGGGGGAAGGTGGATAGATCAGTCAAGGGCTGAGTCCAGCCTGCAGGATGAGTTCATGGGCAAGATGGACACATGTCAATTGGTGGAAGGCACTCCATTCTGGTGGAGGCTGGTGGTCATATCCAGGGCAGTCACCACCAGGGGGAATTCAGGCACCCCTCCAGCGAATTCAGACAGATTGGCAGGGCCTAGATGAGAAGCAGTGCCCAGACAGTGTCCACAAATCAGCCCCACTGCCACCAGGGTCAGGGTCTGCACTGGGGATGGGGAGAAACCAGCCCAAGTGGAGTTTGCAGGGTCATGGTTGATGTTGAGGAGGACATACAGGACCTTGGGGCTACCAGCCCAGTCCTGACCTTGGGATAAGGAAGGTGATGCCCAGGCCACGGTGACCATCCTGGCAGGTGCTTCCAGCACCAGACACCTTGCTGCCAGGCTGTAACTAACCCCCAAAATCTTCACAGCTGTCCAGTTCACCAGGGACTGGGAGACTGGCTGGGTGCAGGCAAACACCTCCTACAAGTCCTTCAGCGCTGCCCAGGTGAACGCGGACATCGGGCTGCACATTGGCCTGGCAGGGGTGAACGTCACGCTCAGGGGTGAGTCTGACGGCCCCATCTGCAACTCTGGAGCAGCCACGGCCCCAGGAGATCCACAGCTGCTCTCTGGGGCCCCCGGTCTGTCTGAAGGCTCCTGGGAGCCTGCTGTGCCCGTGCTCCTGGCTGGCAGTGCCCAGGTGCTGGCACAGCACGGCCGCAGCTCGTCCCTCCCGCAGGAAACCCGGTGAAGCAAATCAACGAGACCATCAACTACAACGAGCACTTTCCCTGGAACTTTGGAGCGGATTATGAGCACAGCTACAGCGAGGGGCTGGAGAAGGGGCTGCCCAGCCCCATCCTCTACGTGGCAGAGAAGTTCAGCAGGCAGAGCCCCTGTGCCGTGCACAGGCAGTACCGCACCGCCGGCCACTACGTGTCCCTCACCCTGTGGTGAGTTACAGCAAGGGCTCAGCCCTGTCCCATGGACTGGGGAGCTGGGAAGAACCAGGGACAGCAGAGGAGCTTTATGGAGCCACCCTTGTCTGTAAGCCCTGGCTGTCTGCAGGATCTGGGATTGTCATGCTTCCTGGCCTGTTGTAGGTTCATACAATTGTGGAATCATGGAGTGATTTGGGTTGGATGGGATCTTAAAGCTTATGGTACTCTAACCCCCATCATGGGCAGGGACACCTTCCACTATCCCAGGTTGCTCCAAGACTTGTCCAACCTGGCCTTGAACACTTCCAGGGATGGAACAGCTTCTCTGGGCACCCTGTGCCAGGGCCTCAGCACCCTCTTAGGGATGAATTCCTTCCCCATATCCCAGCTAACCCTGCCCTTTGGCAGTGGGAAGTTATTCTCCCTCGTCCTGTCCCTCTAGACCCTTTTCCAAAGCCTCTCTCCAGCTCTCCTGAAGCCCCTTCAGGCACTGTCAGGGTCTCCGAGGTCTCCCCAGAGCCTTCTCTCCTCTCTGAGCACCCCCAGCTCTCCCAGCCTGGTTCCAGAGCAGAGGGGCTCCAGCTCTTGGAGCATCTTTTGTCCATGTCCCCAGACTCCTCTTATGTGTCCTCTTGATGTACAAAACTGCAGTCTGAGAAAAATTCATTGAAGAGAAAACAGATGCAACCATGGGGCTCAAGGTTTGAGATCTCTCCCAAGGACCAAGATTAAGGGTCCAGGTTAGGACCTGCTGTGAAGGGTCTTCTTTTGCACATCCAAGTGGTCACAGACCTGCCTGGGGGGAGCAGGAGAGACCATCAGGAGGGTGCTCAGTAGAGCCCTTGTGTGTGTTGTGGTTGTGGAGTCCCAGAGCACACTCACGAGTCTCAGGGGTGGTGGGAAAGGCACTGCAGGGAAGAGAGAGCTTTGAAATTCCCCCCCTGAATGTAGGTTCCAGGCACCTGTACCCATCTCCTTTTTTATTTTCAGGAAAAACAATTATCCCCACCCAAACATTCCTGTATTTCACGGAAGAAATATTAATGAAAGTTTTTTTTTTGTTTTTTTTTCTTGGCATCAGAAAAGTCTGTTAGGCTCACCTCCCCAGGGAGCTAAATCCAAGCCCCAAGCACAGGGTAGGGCTGGCAGCTGGGCACACTCCAGGTGCTGAATCAGGTGTGGGCATGGCTAATGGTGCAGTTCTCCAAACAAATGTGTCCTTCCATGCCACTGTCCCTCTGGACACGTGGGAACTGCCTGGGGGTGGTCAGCTGTGGACAATCACAAGAATCAGAAAAAGAGTTACTTTGGCAGGGCTGTTACAATCTGACTATTAGAGAATCCTCTGCACAAATGAAGGTGTAAATGAGACCATATGCTGAAGTCAATAGCATGGATTTTATGTCACTGTAAATATGAGGTAGACAAAGATGGAAAGAAATAAAAGAGGAAAGGGGGAGGAGAGAGAAAGAGAGGGAGACAGATTAAGTAAAAGGATATGAGCACCCATGGAACCAGACAGTGTCATTGATCCTCTTCTGGTCCTCTCATCGGTGGGGGTCCCACAAAACCCAGAGTTCAGTGCTGGTCGAGGCTTAAGTGCCCAAGCACCTTCCCTGCAGAGGGGTCTGCTGTAAAAATAATCAGGTGTATTTCTCTGGTGGAAGGGCTCAGAGTTTTGGGGTGCTTTGGGGGGTCTTTGATGGTTTAGGACCCCTTCTAAGACATGACCCTGCCTCTCACGCCGGTGTTGAATCAGTTCTGCCCCCTCAGAAGGGATGAAAGCCCTCAGGCCAAGGTGTGAAGGGAAACAATGTGAGCAGGACCTTCCTGGGAAGGGAGGGGGAGGTTTTCAGCTGAGCCGGTTGTATGTAAGGGAGGGCACTGGCATGATAAAAACCATCCCTCTGCCTCTCCAGCATCTGCTTCTTATCAGCCTTCTCCCTCACCTGGCTCAAAACCCAGAGCTGCTGAGGGGTCCTCTGTCTTCTGCACATCAGAGGGCTTGCCACCACACATGCAAAAGCCCTCCTTCTCCCCTGTCAGGGGGGAACCCAGCCCCAGCAAAGCACCTGCTGCCTCTGCAGATGGCCACATTTTGAGCTATTAAACATGAGCATTTCTTTCAGGAACCTCCAGAGATTTCTACTCCAGTCCCACACCCAAAGCAGGGCTGATGCCAAAGCCATACCAAGGTGCTTGGGGGCTTCAGGAAATTCAATGCTGAACATTCCCAGGTGTGGAGATCCCTTTTTCCTGCTGTGGGATTTGTCCCACAGCTCCACCACTCATATCATCACACAGTTGTTTGGCTTGTAAGGGCTCCTTAGAGCAGGCTGCCCAGCCATCTGCTGAAGCAAGGCCAGTGAGACCATGCTGCCCAGGACTTTGTCCCTCCGTTGGGATATGCAGAGGAGACCCTGAGTAGGTGCTCCAAGCCTGATGTTTTCTGCTCTGTGCTTTTTTTCACAGGCTGGCCTTTTGCACGTGGCTCATTTCCATCATGCTCTTCTCCATGTCCATCCTGCTCTATGGTGGCCACATGCTTCTGGTCACGGCCACTCTGATCCTCCTCTCACTGCTCTTCTTCTCCACCGCAAGAAACACCCTCAAGTGCCCCATCCAGTTCGGCCCAGCTTCCTTGAGGACGGACTATGGTGAATCCTTTTGGCTGACATTAGCAGCGGGTGAGTGCACAGCTTCCTTCTGGGGATTTTCTTCTCCATCCCCACAGAAATGATGTCCCAACAGCGCCCCATCCCTTCCTTCTCCATGGCTGGTCACAGAAAATGATAATTTTAGGTAAGAAGATTTTAGATTAGAATTATTGAGGTTGTGGAGAAAAAGAGATGAGCAGTCAAGAGATTTGAATGTCTGAGGTTACCTGCTGGATAGAGATTCCCTCTGCCCCCCAGGACCTGCTCCACTTCCAGGCAGCAATTGTTTCCTTTGATCAAACCAGAATTTTCCACGTTACAACATTCACCTCCAGGGACACCAGCCCTTTTCCAGTAGCAGATGGTAACTAATTCCCCCTGGACACTCTTCTTTTTCAGGCTAAACAAGCCCAGGTCTTCCAGCCTTTCCCTGTGCAGGGTGGGCTCCAGCCCCAGCTCTCTGCCCCAGTTCATTGACCTCTCTTTTGTAGTGGGGAGCCCAAAGTGATGCTAGAATCGAGATGGGGAAGGAGCAATGGCCAGGGAGCTGCTGGGTGATGCCGCGTGTCCCAGGCTGGGAGCCAGCAGCGCTCCTGCACTGGTGCCACTCTGCATTGCAGGGCTGCTGTGCCTGCTCCTGGGGCTGGCCATCGTCATCCTCAACTCCCTGCAGCCAGAGAAGCTGAAGCTCATCTTCAGCCTGGACAAGAGCAGGGAAGAGAAGGCGTGGGACAGGTCCTGCCTGGCAGCTGAGCCCAGCTGCTCCGTGCAGGATGGGCTGATGGTGCCCCTGGGTGAGCTCTGCCATGTGAGCTCAGCCCCCCCGCTCTGAGGCACAGGGCACGCAGAGCCAGGGCTGGACATGCTGCTCCTGAACCCACCAAATCCATCAGGAGCCCAGCTGGGAAGGTTGTGACCAGAACCAAGTGATGAGAATATCCACATCTGAAAACGTGTCTCAAACACAACAGTTGACTTTTCTTTCCCTTTTTTTTTTTTCTGTTTTACTGCCTTTCCCCCTGGTCCATCCCAACAAACCCTGAGCCCTCCCCAGGATACAGAGATTAAATCAGAACAAGATGGGGAGAAAGCAAGCAACTGAAGGCCCACGGATATGAACCAAAGGAGAAATAGAGCCCACAACAGACCCCTCACCCTGAGGACCCCCAAAAAGTCCCCTTGCCTTGGATACTGTTCCCATCAGCAGTCAGGAAGTGCAGATGGAGCTGCTCCCCAGGGTGAATAGCACCATGGCAAATAGGAACACAGTTTAGTAGGATGCTGGAGGTACCAGGAGGGAGGGAAGGAGAGGAGGAGGTGGGAAAGGAGGTACAGCAGTGCCTTGGAGATCAGCTGTAACCAATTAGGAAGAGGGGAGCAGCACCTCCAGTCTGGGTTCCTCCTGCTCAGCTGTGGAAATACGCATGTCAGGGGCAGGAGACATTGAAATTCTGCCCAAGGCAGCAGGACCCCTGCCCACACAGGCAGAGAAGGTGCACACTTCAGCTTTACATCCCTCTGCCTCTCTGAGGGTTTCACAACATTTTCTTTCTGTTTTGTGCTCACTTATTTCCCTCTCTATCTCAATAAAATAAGTTTGCCTTGCCCTTTCACCTGCCTGTTGGTAGAGGTGTCACTCTGAGGGCTGCTGCTGTGACATGGCAGCCACAGGGAAGGGATGAGGAAAAGGCAGAGCCTTTTTGTGGTCCTGAATGGGGCACCTAACGGGGCTCAGCCAGTGCAGGGCAATGAGGTCGAGTCAGTGCCCCCCAAAGAGGGAATTGGAATATCCCCAGCAAACAAGCAGGGGGAATTTTAGTTTCTGGCATGCCCCTGAGCATGTGGGAGGTTTGATGGGAGCTCCCTCCAGCCCTGCAGAGAGGTTTGCAGAGGAGCCACCATGGGCCAGGGAGGAGCTCAGCCACGGCATCCTCTCCCATCCCATTCCGGTGGGAAGGGCCTTCAATGAGAACCTAGAGGACCCAACAGGGTTTGGCGCTCAACTCCTTTGGCTTGGGAGATCCCAGCCAGGATATTCCCAGTAACACCTATCAGGAGGTGCTTCAGCCTAGAGATGGACTAGATCCAAGGTGCAAGGAATCCCTTTGGTTTAGTCAGCTGGCATTCAGGCCTGACAGACCTGTCTCTGCTATGTTCCTGCTGGGGGAGGTGGCTGCAGTGAGTGCCACCAGGGGGGTGGCCATGGTCCTTGCAGAGCCCCAGGCTGTGCTCCCTGAGATGTCACCGTGGTTGTTCCATTGCTGGCACTGGTTCCGGATGGATGCCAGATTCCCCGGACACTGCGGGGGCAGAGCCCACCTGGGCCAAGAGCCACGGATTTAGTGGTGGTAACTTTACTTCTTGATGTCCAGCAGCACCTCAGTCCAGCCAGGGAGCTGAGCTGTGCTGGAGGGAGGAGGTGGGACCTGCACAGTGCAAATGGCCAAAAGGCTGGGAAAGGCCTCCTGTGTCTTGGGATCTGTCCCACACCAGCCCCAGTAACCTGTGTTTGCTGCACCATCTTCCCGTCAGTGCCTTCAAACCTCACGTGTCTGGATGCAAGAAACTCTCAAGGAAGGATCCTCCTTTTCCTGAGGGAGTTCTGGTGGTTTAATCTCACAGCTTCAGCCCCAGCACTCAGCTAGTTAAAGTCCTTTTGAGGCTCTCCTAAATTCTCGTAGCTCCTCATGACAAAGGTTTCTGGGTGTGTGACCTTGAACCGTGCCAACAAGGAATTTATCCCCATGAGAAGAATGCTGCTGCTGGGGGCTTGCCAGAAGTGACCTTCAGATGTGCCCCACGGCCCCTTCTTAAGAAACCAGCCCCCTAAATGTCCACAGTGTTTCAAAGGAGAGGGGTTTCAGGAAAATTTATTTTGTTGAAAATAATTCCTGCACAGAACAAACCAAATTAGTGACACACAAGTATCATCTGGCAGAAATAAGTAACTTACCAGAAGGATCTCAAAAATAAAAGTCAAAACATTGAGATTATATACTTTAAAATTAACTGGAATGAGGGTGCTCAGGTTTCCAGCATTCAGATATAGAATCCCAGAATAGTTTGGGTTGGAAGAGACCTTAAGGCTCATCTTGTTCCACCCCTCACCATGGGCAGGGACACCTTCCACTATCCCAGGTTGCTCCAAGTGCCCTGTCCAGCCTGGCCTTGGACACTTCCAGGGATGGGGCAGCTGCAGCTTCCCTGGGCACCTGTGCCAGGGCCTCACCTCCCTCACAGGGAAGAATTCCTTCCCAATATCCATCTAACCCTGCCCTCTGGCAGTGGGAAGTTATTCCATCTCCTGTCATGTGGGTCCTTGTCCCCACTCCCTCTCCAGCTCTCCTGGAGCCCCTTCAGGCCCTGGCAGGGGCTCTGAGCTCTCCCTGGAGCCTTCTCCTCTCCAGGTGAGCCCCCCCAGCTCTCCCAGCCTGGCTCCAGAGGGGCTCCAGCCCTGGGAGTTTCTCCATGGCTCCTCTGGACTGGCTCCAGCAGCTCCAGGTCCTTCTCTGGTGGCAGCTCTGCAGGTGGGGTGTCACCTGAGTGAGGCAGAGGGACAGATCCCACCCCTCCCTGCTGCAGTATGCCCCAGCTGGACAGGGATAACTTCATCCTTCACTCCCTTTCCTTCCCTATGGCATCTTTTCAGTTCACACAAGGCTACAAGTTTTGCCTAATCAAAGCCAAATTTGAAGGTGAAAAGAATCGCATCACCACATCCCCCACAGCAATCTGGTGCATTTACTCAGCCTTTGTTTCTGGAGCAGATTTTTTATTCCAGCTCCTGCAGCATCCAGCCTGCAGAAGCTGGATCTATGCCTGGCTTTCCTGGATACACCTAAACCACAAAATGTCATGTTTGGCAAAGAAAGGAGCAGATTTAATCCCAGGTTTTTGGAGTGGCAGGTGCTCCCAGGGAGAAATGTCACCCATGAGGCGATTCTCAGTCCCAGCAGGAGCAGAGCATTGGAGAATGCCTGCACTGCAGCGTGGCAGGGCATGGAGCAGGAAGGGATTCCTCCTGGGATGAGGATCCCCAGGGGGGTGTGCAGCTCAAGCCTCTGGAGCTGTGAGCTGTGAGCTGTGAGCTGCCAGCACAGCCTGCCCCTTCCAGAGGGCAGGGGGACAGTCTGTGAAGGTACACTTCCCAGCAAGGACCTATCCCAGTGTGGGGCTCTTGGATGGGGAAATCCATCTCTGGGGACATCATGAAGAATTTGTTTTGCCCTTTTGGGTTCATCTTCAGGGGAAGAACGAGTACTTTCCTCTAGATGCTGTTGATTTCAGAGGGCTGGGAAGGAAACAGACCCTTGTTCACAAAATGAGGGTTGATTAGCACCTCAGGCATTTCCTGGTACTCCTCTGCTTTGTCCTCATGGAGATCAAAGAAAGTTTTCAGCAGGTCCAGATTGAAGTGGTGCATTGCCACAATGGTGGTCCCAACCACAAAACAGAGCAGGCCTGGAAACAAACATTCTCTCTGGTTGGGATGGTGTCACTCCAGCAGTGTCCCCACCCCAGAGCTCTCCTTGGATTGTCCCCTGCCAGAGGACAATGCCTTTGCTTTATGGAAGGTGGCCTTCCAGTGTGTGAGCTGTTCTAAGCATCCTTAAACCCCAGACACCGGTCTGAAAACCCAGGCAAGTGACCCCAAAGTGTTTGCACCTCAGGAGCTCTAAATGCCTCCATTGCCCTTGAGATGAGGATGGTGTTTCCCCTTTTCCCACCCCTCTCCACATCTGCTTTGCCAGGGCTGAGGCTCTGGGGGGCTGCACTTCCCACCTGGGACCCTTGTACCTCCGGAGGGACACAGCAATGTGACCCAGGGCACCCTGATGTTCTCACCAATTGCCAGCACGAGCCAGAAGGATCCCCCATAGGCCACGTGCAGGGTCCTGCTCCCAATCTTGATCAGGCACATGGGGGAGCTCCTCACGGTGGAAAACGAGAGCAGTGAGAAGGTGGTGAAGGCCCCTGTGACCAGGAGCATGTATCCTCCATAAACCAGGACAGGCATGGACAGGAGGATGTTGGAGATGATCCACGTGCAAAAGGCTACCCTGGAGACAAGAGGAGACCAACAGATGAGTGGTGCGAGTGCCACGGATCAGGATGCTCTGTGTGGGGATTTCCATGTGGCAGGAGGAATCTGGGCTCCAAGTAGGAGCTGTGGGAGATGGAGAAGCTCTGTGGGAAGGCAGGAATGATCCCTAATCCCCATGCTGAGCAAGCACACGTGCAAAGCTCACACTGCTACATCCAGGAGGCAGAAACACAGATTTCCTCTTCCCCTCGCTCAGCCCGCAGGCAGTAGCAGCCTCAAGGAGGTTGTGGCAGCCCACTCAGGGTACCTGGATCATCCCAGCTCCCAGCCCTTCCACATGTGGGGCAGCAGACCCTGAGAGAGGCACCCAAGACTGAGATAAATGCAGGAGCAGGTAAAGGTCTTTTGCAGGAGCTCTGCATGTGCTGAGGAGTTGGGCTACAGAGGAAGGCCTCAGCTATGGATCTGGAGCTCTTGTTCCATGGCATCACCAGGCTTCTTCTCTAGCTTCTGTGTCCCTGCTGTCAAACACCAAGCAGGGAGAACAGCGCTGCAATGGTTCTCCATGGCCAACATAAGGTGGAAGGGACCGCTTCCTGCCAGCTGGGGACCTGCTCTCCCCCAGCCCAAGTGGGCTTTCTGACCTTGCCAGAGTCAAGATCAATTCCACAATAACAGCAGCAGTATCTTTTCCTCACCTGATCCAAATCTTAGATACAAAATACACTCACAGGTAGGGTTGGGAGTGTTCTTCATGTGTCCATGGGCCTCTCTGGGCCACCAAGGAC